AGAATTTCCCACACACGAATACGTATACGAAACAATTTCACTTAGCTTCGTTTTCAACTCGCAATTCCACGCTAAATACCTCGCTTCAATAACCAATCAGAATGCGAGATTTTATTCAATGATGCGATTCTAATGTAAAGTTAATTTTTAAACCGATGAAGAAATAGCAGTTGCTTTTTAAAGGAAAAATAATTTTTTTGTACTCCATCTCATTATCAAATGTAAACCAATGGCTTCCAAGCGTCCACGGGTCTTTTACTTTTTATAATACAGCTGATGATATTTTCAGTCACGTGGGGGGACGTTGTCACAGAATGTTCTTGGAATTTTATTTCCATAGAAATAGGTTAAATTCCCGTCAGGCACACTAAACTACGTTTTTTACAAGGTCTTTTTGTCGTTATGCTTCACTGATTACTCGTGCTTGGCCTCAGTCCTCTCAGTCACGCATAGTTGGTCACGTGCAGACAAAGAAAGGTGTAAATGAAAGGTGTAATTGAGATCTCGATCATTCCTTCTGCATTTGGGAATTGGTGAACATATCGGAGAATTCATTTGATTGAAATAGAAGTTTCTTGTCAGTGCGCTTCAAAGACCACTAAAGGTTTGTTACAATGTTCCTTTTAGTACGTCAACTCATGAATTTGTTACGAGTAGAGTTAGATGTATACAATGAATATATGAAGTTCATATATTTTGCATTGCGGTATTAAATACGTATGATGCGCGATCCTTCGCAGTAGATAGCGCTATCTACTGCGAAGGATCGTGCATCATACGTAGAGTTAGATGTGGCAACAATGTTTATAATGTTTTGATGTTTTCCCACTATGTTTACTGCGCACGATTTTGGTTTGTTGAAGGTTCAAAGTTATATTGCCAGTCTAGTCGCTGAAAAGCTCTGAAAACTGTAGAAGCATTCTCTGATAAAGTTTATGACAGTTTGTCGAATGGACTTTTTTTTACTGAATTAGCTGTTGTACAACAAATAACAATTTCTCCTCAACTTTGTATAGTCTAGGACATAATTACGGGAAATCCATTGAGGTAGCAAGATCTTTGGAATAGATGAGAATCCTGACATTTAAATCAGAGAATACTGTGAAATTTCTGGGACAATGGACGGTTGATTCCCTCCTTGATCATAATTTCCATAGTTGTTCGAACATTTCTTTTAGTCAGTGATTTAACATGTGAACGTTCACTATTGGTATAGCATGGAACAAATATCTGAGACGGTGTTAAAGCCACAGATAGTAAACTGTAGCATTTTTTTACTGAAACCTCACGATGTCAAGATATATCCACAAAAACATCGCAGTGAAAGACAAAGAGTAATTTCATGCAGAGCTGCACGAGTGCAGCCTGACCTCAAACATTCAATGATATTGTAATATTGTGCTATTTTTAGAAGTGTAGCGTGACTTAAAGCACGAACAAAAAGTTCATTCAATATTTGTCTGCGTAAACTAATTTGTATGCTATGGATTGCATACCGTCAAAACTTTTTTAACTGCAATCGAGGACCTGCAATAAGTGTAATGACGTTTGGGAAAGGGTTAAAAATGGACATACAAGAATTTGAAAGGAGTGAATAACTAAATCCTAAGTTGTAGTGCATAGTCACCATTTCTACTAAATTTATCGTAATTTCCTTGGTTGTTCGAACATTTCTTTTAGTCAGTGATTTAACATGTGAACGTTCACTATTGGTATAGCATGGAACAAATATCTGAG